TCCCAGCGCTACGTAACGGCCCACGATACCCCAAACTCGCCCCAAGAGGCCCGACGAGGGCCCGAACATAGCCCACCACTAGCTGAAAAAAAGGCCCGAAACGGTCCCAAAAAACCCTGTAGCGGCTCCCAGATGGAGCCCGACGGGGGGGCCCGAAAAGAGATTTCGAGCCCTCGGCCCCGAAAGGCTGCCACGAGGCCTCAAGAGGCCCCCCAAAGAGGCCCCCAGAAGTCCCAAGACGAGGCTTCCAACAGGCCCCCAAACTGCCCCCGAGAGGCCCCCGAGAGCGTCCCCGAAGGACCCCCCCCGATGACTCTGACCAACAGCCCAGGTACGGTGGCGACATGGGACGAAGGCCGTGTTAGTGTATATCTGCATATGTGTGTCTGTAAATAAGTAAGTATGTACATGCGTGAATGCATGCGTCTCTTGGTGTATTTGTATCCATATACACATAATTGTAAATATATGTACAAACAAGCAAACAAATAACCCATGCATCATACCAACATGTATACATACATTCATGCAAATGTTCACGCATGCACACACATACGGGCATACATGCCTGCCACAACACATACATCCCCCATACATGCAACAAACAAACAAACACACACATATGTGTATATATACACGTTCCCATGCATATGACCAATACGTGTATTCATACAAGCACCCGCGCATACACACACGTACATCCATTCATACCCCCATGCGTGCAATCATCCATACGCGCATGCGCACATGATGACAGACTTGCGCACACACATACACATATAAACATACGCGCGGGCACGCCCATACACACCTACATCTACAAAGTTGTACGCGCATACAGACATACACACGCAGACACGCGTACACACGTGCACACATACATACATACATACATAATACATACATGCATACATGCATGTACGCGTAAATCCATCCAGACGGACAACAAACACATACATACATGACTGCATACATGCGTGTACACATATGTATATATACATGCATATATACATACACCTATATTTGCATACATACACGCGCTTACACCTATGCATACGCACACGCACACGCACACATCGCGCAGAGGTGGCGCGACAGTCCGACGCGGCCACTCATGCGCGGGCCAACCGCGCGGCACACCGCGTGGAGAATAAAAGAGGGCGCTTACGCGCGGCCTTTCTCCGGCTCGGGCACCAGGACCTCCTCGCGCCGAGGAGGGGTGGGGAGGTGCGCCCTCCTCGCTCCACAACTCCCCCCCTTCTCCCCACCACACGTTCCCCTCCGCTCCCACTCGCCCAAGCCACGCTCCCGCCCACCCTTTCCACCCCCATCCCCGCACCCCACCCCCACCTCCCACCTCTTGGAAGCTGTGCGAGGGCTGGCAAATCCGTGGCTGCTAAAACGGTCTTGCCGGAAGAAAGAAGAAACAACTTCCCGGAATCAAGCTCAACGCACTAAATGGTAAACGGGCTGCTTTCCAGAAGAGATAAAACCGCTTCTCGGAGTTCCGTTTGAGCAGCCACGGGTTTGCCAGCCTTCGCTCGGCTTCTGAACCTCTCCCCCGCTCCCATCCCCAATATTCTCCCACTACTGGGTAGTCGAAGCCAATCTGGCGCCAATCTGGCAGGCCCAATCTGGCAAACGGGGGCAATCTGACGAGGGAGCCAACGCGAATCCAGTCTGGCGAATAACCCCAATCCTCCAGCTTGGCCAGGCCAGATTGGCCCTTGGGGCCCAATCCAATCTGACAGTCTGGCCTTCGACTAATTACCCAGCACTACGCTCCCCTGCTCGCCCCAGCAGAAGCACGAGAGCACACCGCTTGGCGATTTCGGCGTTTGGGGGCTCCTGTCGAGCCCCACCGACCGTCGACCAGCATCGCTACGCCCGAGCTGGTATGCCAGGAGCTGCAGGCAGCCATCATGGTCGTGACGACACTCTGGGCACGAACTCGTCCGTTCCGACATGCTGCAACAGGCGTCACAGGAGAATCGGCAGTCCCAAGAATCGTGGACCACGAACGTAGTCCAGCCAAATCGAGTCGTCGTCGTCGTCGTGAGCCTCCTGCTCATCCCTCACCATTCCGTGTCCTCCTCTCTCCTATTCCTCCTGGACCTGATCTTACCCAACGCCCTCCTCGTCATCATCCTTCGACGCCCCCTATCGTTTCAAATTTCCCTCGTCATCTCCTCGTCCTCCTCCTCCTCCTCCTCCTCCTCGTCCTCCTCCTCCTCGTCTTCCTCTTCCCGTTCCTCCTCCCCGCTGCTCGTCCACGCCCACCGGGCATCACCAAACGGCTTCCCCGAGAATCCGCTCGGGGCGGTGCCGAGCAGTACCGTGCGACGCGGAGGTCTCTCCAGAGGTGCACCCTGTCCCCCATGCTGGGGGCCCGGACGTTGGCACCATCACCAACACAGGGGGTTGCCTCAACAGGGGGATTGGGCGTGGCTTAATGGGGGGGTCACATATGGGGGGGTCAGAACAGGTCCTCTTTCGTGCCCCTTTCGGGCCCCTCCAGAGCCCCAGGGGGCTCGTTTAGGTACCGTTTGGGTACCTTTTCGAACCACCCTCGCCACCCCCCCATTTATGACCCCCCCATTACGCGGCGCCCAAGGGGAAAATGATCCCAGGTTCCGGTGTCGGTGGCAATAATTCGGTCGACTTGGAAGCCGGACCATCACCACCATCACCGAGATCGGGGTCGTCGTCCCTCGGTGGAGGCACACCGCCGATCTTGGCGTTGGTGTCAACCTCGAAGGATTGCAACAAAAACGAAGGATTGCAACAAAAACGAAGGATTGCAAAAAACCGAAGGATTGCAAAAAAAACCTTCGGTTTTTTTGTTGCACGAAGGATTGCACGAAGGGTTGTTTTGCAATCCCAAGGATTGCAAAAAAGAACCGAAGGATTGCAATCCTTCGTTCTTTTAGGAGGCCTGCGACCATGGCCCCTCCCACTGGGAGCGCCCGAGTGAGAGTTGTGTACTACATGTTGCGACGGAGCGCTCCGTGGCTGCCCCCCCCCAACTGGAGTGCCCAAGCGCGGCGCGCTGTAGCTGCATGGGGACGCTCGCTCTTGGGACTCGGAATGTGGGGGGGAGGAATCGGAGGTGCCAAGCCAAGAACTCCTCTCGTTCCCGGGCCGACTTCGAAGGCCCGCGGGGTTCCTGGGTTCCCGGCTTCCCGCTTGCTGGCTCTGGGTCGCCTTCCAGGTCGCACGATCGAGCTCACCATCGATCTCATGATCGATCTCACGATCCATCTCACTCCATCGAAAACCATCCACTGGTTGCTTCTTCCCTTGTGCCGTGACATCCCTACGATCTGGCCGCGAACGGGAAGTCGAGCGCCCCCGGGCGGCTCCTCTGTGGGGTGCCCAGGGGCCACGCCTGCTGCCTCGAGGGGATCGCGCGGCTCTCGAAGCAGGGGAGAGTCGGCGACTCCCAACGAGCGACTCGCTCGGGGCATCCCCACCTGATGTGAAGTCGGGCGCGTCCCCCTACAGGGGATTTTCGACGAAAAATAAAAGATACCCCCAAAATACCCCAGAATCGACAAAACATTCTCAAAAAATTGTCCCCCGACTATTTTTGGACAATTTTTGAATACTCTTGGGGTATAATTCATTTTTCGTCGAAAATTCCCCTGTAGGGGAACAAGCCCGACACAAACCTAATGCGGAACGACTGCCTTGCTGAGACGTGCCCGCATTCGGACCCAACGCGCAAGCGTCCCCCTCACTGGCGGCTCGTCCTTAAAAATGCCCGCATGCCACGCCTGCTGCACCGCGGCGATCACGGCACGGCCACGGGGCTGTCACAGAGGGATGCCACGCGAACGGACTGCTCGAGATATCACCACAAAGGCAACGGGAAGGGTCCCCTCCCCCTCGCGCCGGCGTGTCTCTGGGGAACCAACAGAGGCATGCCCATTACATCGCCCACGGAGCCCCAGACCCCCCGACTTTCCTGCGGCGTGTTCCCTCGGCAGCTGGCCCGAGCCGCATCGAAACCGGAACGCACGCTGCAATCGGCTCTGGCTGGGCCTGGCCGATGCAGGAGCAGCAAGCCGAACCGGATCGACTCGGCATCGCGGCCCCTGGCGGCGCATCGGATCGCATCGCGTCGGACCCTGGGCGGCAGTGTGAGGGCCTCCCCTGTCTACCACCGACGTTGTCGCTTGGCGACTGAGCCTGTCCCCCACCTGCAGGATGAACGCCACCACATAAACAGAACCTTTCGACGCTCCGCGCGGATATCTTGGATCTGCGCTGGGCCCCCCCTACCTGCCGCGCAGAGCGCGCCACGGGCGGCGCCGGAGGCGCTGGCCCAGCGCGGATCCAAAAAATCCGCGCGGAGCGCCGAAAGCTTACGTTCCTGACTTTAGCTTTTCTTCGATCCTTAGTCCCCCTGAGCCTGTATCGGGTCCGAGCCATTTTGGCTCTTGGCTCAAAATGTTCGGCCCGAGCCTGTAGCCGAGTAGGCCCTAAAGCAGAGCCCCACCACGTAACCGGTGGGAGTCCGATTGAAGGAGAAAGCAATCTCGCTGATCCTCGCCTGCTCCAGCATCAAGCTGAAGGGCAAGGATAGGGACTGGCATTAGGCGGGGGAGCCATCGACCTGGAATCGGCGATGCATCGCCGATAGATCGGCGACAGGTGTCCGATAGCAAACCCTCACGTTCCCGGGCGGGGTAGAGCCATCGGGCCCCAGATCGGCGATCCATGGGCGACTGGGGGGCGATGCGTCTCTCCCTTCAGTATGCCTATCCCCCCCTATCGGTGCCCCTGACGAGCGTATCCCCCCTGAGCCTATGCCCCACCTCCTCCTCCTCCTCCTCCTCCTCCTTGTCCTCGTCCTCCTCGTCGTCCTCCTCCTCCTTGTCCTCCTCCTCCTCCTCCTCCTCCTCCTCCTCCTCCTCCTCCTCCTCCAGCGCTGGCCCTTGACTCGGAGGCCTCGCCCGCCCGCCCGCCCGCCCGCCGCCCCCCAACGCCCGCGGCGCCCTCGAGGCCGAGCTCCACGCCGCCGAGCCTGCCCCAGAGCTCCTGCAGGCGCGCGCTGGGGGGGGAGGGCCGGGGCCCTGTGCGCCGAAGGAGGAGGCGGAGGAGGAGGAGGAGGCGGCGGAGAAGGAGGAGGAGGAGGCGGAGGAGGCGGAGGAGGCGGAGGAGGAGGCGAAGGAGGAGGAGGCGGAGGAGGAGGTGGAGTGGGGCGCGAGAACCAGCTCGCCATCGCTCGGACGTCCACACCCCGTGCACGTTTCGGTCAGGTGCGGGTGCACGTTGTCGCAAGAGGACTCCAGATGCTTCTCGATGGCCCCTGCCGAAGAAATATGTACAAGTCCGAGCGACGGCAAGCTAGAGGACGAGCAACAACAACATAACCATACACTGTTAGAGCTCGGCGCGGATTTCTTGGATGGACGCTCCACCCTCCTCCCTAGCCGGAGCGCGCCAGACGAGCGCCAAAGGCGCCGCCAAGGGGGTCCAACGCCGACCGAAAAGATCCGCGCGGAGTTTCGAAGGCTCCTGATTACTAACGCTTCCTTCTTCGAAGAACAACACCAATCATTCAGATGCAACTTCTCAGAATTCTTCGCAAAAACGGTTAAAGGATATTACGCGTCCGCGGAGGGGGCCTCTTATGGGGTGAGCGAGAAGCAACCATTTCTCACGCTCACTTTGTACGACAAGAAGCTGACTAAAGCCCTCCGTTTGTCATGACGATGACTTCTATTTCGAAGATAAGGCGGCTCTCTTTCTTGTATCGCGGTGGCGAGAAGCAGGTGCAGTCCAAGTCTCTTGGGCATGACCACACCGTTGAGAAGGATGCAAAGCAAACGGATCGGCAGCCTGTGATCGTGGTGATGTCTACAACGTCGACACGCGCGGGAAGGCGACAACTCAGACTTAGACGTGCATGCCGCGAGTCACGCAATCAACTGACTCAGCGCATACGGCTTGCCACTGCAAATGTGGGCGGACTGGATTGGTCCCGGTATGACAACAGAGACAAACTCCAGATGTTCCTGGTGAAGCGGCGTCAGCACCATGTTGACGTATGCCTGCTCTCGGAGCTCCACAGTGGAACGTACGAGGCGGACGACGGCACCCCTAAGATAGTCCAGATATAGAGGAGTTCACTCTTACCATGACTGCTGATTGCGGGTTCTCTTTGCCGACGGCAGCGAGGGTGGCATGGAGAGCAGCATCTGCCACACTTCAACGAGATGGAGCATTTACTATTCTATGGAATAAGAGATGCGCGGCCACACCACTACTGCTGGAAGGTACTCAGCTCATGTGGATGGTTAGTGCCTATGCCCCCACGGGGGGAATTGCGGGTCTCAGAAATCAGCAATGTGAGGGAATCACGGATTTGAAGTATCGATGCCCGCAAGCACAGAAATAGGGGAAAACCAAACCTATCTCGCTTTTGAACACCCTCGCTTCCAAGAGATACCAAACGATGCCAAACTACAGCCTGTACTGGTCAGGCCGCTTGACGAGGAGGCGCGTGGTATGCCTTGGTTTTGCCTGGAAGCGAAAGCGGGGTAGGTAATTCACGCTCTGAACAAAGGACCGATTCTTGTAGGTGGGCTCCGGAACGGACATGCTGCCAGAGACACGGTGGCGAACGGCATACCGTTGGGAGAACCTCTCACGAGGAGAAGCACGACGGGTGGAGGCAAGGTCTTTCTACGTCGGCTGACGGGCACGGCTTCTATAAACACCTGCTCATTTTTTCAATTGCACGACGGGAGGCACCTGGAAGCACAGGAATGGACAGTGGTGCGACTTGGGTCAAGCTGTTCTGGGTACAGAGCTGCGCAGACAGGTATTGGGAGTTTCTGCTTCTGCATGGGGGGTCCCTGATCACCTCTCAAAACATCTGGGCCTTCAGCTTCCGCGGGCAAGAAGCCAAGCACGGAGAGCAGCCCGACGGCGGTTTCATATGCAACGGCAGAGAAAAGCACGAGAACAAGCAGTGCGTCCTCCTCTGTCTATTTACAAGTTTCGTGGCACATCGGCTCAATCTGAAGCACTGCGGGAACAATATCGGGAAACCATGCTGACCCTGACTGGCTCCCTCAACCTCGACGCCGACCCTTTCGTATCATATCGACGCAAAAGACAAGACATTAAGACATCTTCACGGACGGCTCGGGAACAAAGAATGGAGCGGGTTGGGTGATTGGAATCATCACAGCATAAACTCGAGAATGGATAGATCTGTTTGGCTCAGGTGTCACCTTGGAAGATGAGCAATTACGATCGATGTTCTTAAGAGCGGATTGCCTCAAAACCAATACGGGCGAGTTCGCAACTATTATCATGGCGTGCTGGTGCTTAGATAATACAACGGCTGAGGATATGATCACAGTGCACTACGATTCACAGCACGCTGCTAACATGTTATCTGGAAATTGGAGGTCAAAGATCATCCAGCAATTTATTACCACGGGCAGGGCTTTCTTCAAGAAGGTGCGTGCTCAACGAGATGTTGTACGGTACATGTTAAAGACCACTCTGGGGAAGCTGACAATGACCGTGCTGACGCGAATGCTGATGCTGGAGCCAAGCGCGAACTGAAATTGTGGGAAGCAATCCATGAAGATGATGGCCAAGCACGGCCAGGCATTAGGATGCAAGTTAGAACGCAAGTCCCAGTTAGCTCTACGACAGCTGCTGGGCTCACGTCGCCACATGTTGGATTGCTGCCTTCGGGCAGCGAAACGTCGCCATGTGTTGCCGGACCAGTCGCGCTTGGCATGCCTCCCCTTCGGCCACCTGGCGGACTCCCTCCGCCTGGACTTGACCCTGACTATGCAGGCCCATTCGAGGATTTGCAATACGAAGATGAACCACCCTTGGAGGAGCCGATCATGCCCGATATCCACCCCACCACGGACTTATTACCTCGACCACTTCGGGACCCATCTTATTCAGAACCTTTGTGAGGAGGACTTGGGGACGGAACGGGCCCATGTACAAAACAGCATGACCTGGACGCGAGCTTCAACCATCATGGTCAACGCTGCGGGAAGTGTCTTGGGACAGGGAAAGGCTGCGAACCAGTTTGGGTGTATCATTCTTGGAGGAGGACATGCAGAAGATCATAGCCCTGAGACAAGAACGTGCTCGCATATGGGAGCAGAGGCAGAGAGCTGGAGATTTAGCAGGTGAGCGTAGCTTGCGGGATGCACACAAGCAACTGGGGAGAAAGATTGTGTATCGTGCACGCCACAGATGGGCTAAACCGATCATTGATGATCTGATGTCCTTCGCAACTACCAATGACTGGGGCGCTTGTTACCGTAATCTAAAGAAGTTGGGTATCCAGATCCATAAGCGATCACGTGAAGGTCAAGAGCAAGTGTCCGCAGATAGCATGATCACACAGTTGAAGAATATCAGTGGATTACCTTGGAAGGTGGAGGATGAGGTATTGGATCGAGGGCTCCCAAAAAGACCTGTGAACGAGGAAATGGGTCGTTTTCCTACTCGGGATGAAGTTCGATATGCTGTATTCTGGAAATGAAAGACTCGGTCCCTGGGAGGGATTAGGTAACGGTATCTATGAGAAGGGCGGCGGGGGAGGAGATGTCATATGTAGTAATCGATTTGGTGCACGGACTTTGAAGAACACAGTACCAGAGCTGGGAGCAGAGCACGAAGGCCGCTTTGGGTGTGTTGCTTTGGAAAGGGAAAAACGCAAAGGCGGATCCGAATGCGTACCGCCAGATTGTTCTTATATCCGTTGTATCACGTGTTGTTGCCCGTTTGGTTGCAAATAGGTTGCTCGTTCAAGCTGAAAATGCTGGCATATTACCTCCGACCCTATTTGGCTTCCGACGCCACCGATCGGCGGAGGTCCCATTTTTATTGTACGCCTATTACTTGAAGGGACTCAGGATGTCAATTATGCAAGACACCAGATTTTGACCCTTTGGTGACGACGTGAGCAGCTCAAGACACGGGACGGCATCTCGGAGCCATATTTTCTAGCAAGAGGTTTTAAAGAAGGCTGCCCTTCGGCACCGGTGGCGTTCAAGATGTTTCACGCGTCAGCTATGTATGATTTCAAGAACCAACCTCGAGAGATACGAAGGCATTGGTTGTGTTGATTTATCTCAGACGGAATTTGACATAGGCACCCGAGTGCGACGACCTGGGGCGGTACGTGACAAAGCATTGGAAGACAAGCCAGTGCTCAAGCTATTCGAGATCATGTTCGCGGATGATCCCAACCTGTTGTCACGTCGGTCCCAACGGGAAAGGGTCGAGAAAATACTGGAGCAAATGCTTGGAGAGTGGTCGGAGACGGTACATCCAGACAAGTACGAGCGACTGAGTGCAGAACCTGATCTTGCTGAAGAATATGCTGCTGCCACTCGGTTTCTTGAAGCTTGGCTCCGCAGCGATGGCAGGAACTCCACGGACACAAAGAAGCGTCTTCAGAAGGCTGGAATGGTTTGAAGTCGACTCTATGCTCAGTTTTCTCGTCTCCAACTCGATCAGAAGCATTTGGGAATGTTGTTTCGTGCCACTGTGATATCTTGCTTGCTGTTTGGGTGCGAGAGTCGGACTTTTACCAAGTTTGAGCTCAAGAAGTAGCAAACGCTTGTGAACAAAAATATTATTGGCCTACTCCACCTGAGAAGGATTACGATACCACATCTTATACACAAGGGTATTACGCCAGATTGAGGGGTCATTTAGCCTGACAAGCCCAGATTGAGCTCAGGATTCTACCAGATTGCACCAGGGTGAACGTTTACTGCGCGAGATCATGCAGGCGTGGGCCGGCTTCGACCACGGCATACGAGCGCCGATGCTGAATTTCACCTTCCAGGAGCTGCATCCTGAGATGGGAAGTGCAAGCAGTAGCAATTGTTCTGCTTCGAGCCATCCTCGGTCCGGGCGAAAGGGGGGGATAGCAAAGTGGGGTTTTGAGAATCAGCCCACGTAGCTGATTTTCCCGGCGCCTCCCGGCGCCGGAGGCGCGCCTGTATCGAGGGATGGGCCCCTCGGCGGGGCCGAAACCAGCTGCACGCAGCAGATTCCGTAACCCCCCCCTTCCCAATCCCCCCCTTTCGCCCGGCCCGAACTCGGACCCCGCCTGGGAGGAGGGGAAAGAGGAGGAGGAGGAGAAGGAGAAGGAGGAAAGAGGGGGAGGAGGAGGAGGACGAGGAGAAGGAGGAGGAGGAGGAGGAGGAGGAGGAGCGAGGAGGAGGAGGAGGAGCCAGGAGGAGCGAGGAGGAGGAGGAGGAGGAGGATCCCCGGGGAGGAGCGGCCCCCCCTCGGGGCCCGGCGGCCGCGGCCTGCAGCCCGCCACGCAGCAGAGGTGCGAGAGGCGGGGCGCACCAAGGGCCTCGGGCCCCGTGCGGCCCGGCGGCCGCGGTGCGCAGGGCGGGCGGGGCGGGTCTGGAGCTGCAGTGCAGCCTACCAGTGGAGGGGCCCTGGGACATACAATAAACACACACACACAAAGTAACAGGATTCCCCCCCATATTTCCCAATATTTTCTGGGTGTTTGTCTTCCCCCCCCCCCCACTTCCCACATCTTCCAATATCTCCCTGGGAGTCGAGGACGCATTGCGTCTGTGTGTTTTTCTTCCCTCCCGATCATTGCAACCTGACAATCCCAACCTGTCGTGTGGGGTGGCACGCCACCGCAGGGAACCCGCCAACATGACACAGCTGCGGAGGCAGCGCCAAGCTTTCCGACACCAGCGGCGGAGTAGCACGCCGACGGGACTCGCGCCGCCTTCGTGTCAGCAGTACCCTCGCCCTCCAAGAGCAAAGGGGGTGTCAGGACGAGGGCGTGGGGTGCAGCATCGCCCAGGGCATCTCCCACGGACGACGGAGGAGGGGCAGTGGAGCGTCTGGAAACAATGGGACCGACGCTCACGGGTGCTCTTTCGCAAGACATCAGTGCCCACACGTGCCCCAAGATAGCCCACCGGGTACCGACAAACGCCCGCAAACGCGGATTCACAAATGTGAAGCGCAGTTAGTCTCTCTGCTCCTTCCCTCCGCACTTGCATGCATCCGCCTCACTTCCCCCTCTGCTCCCCTCGTCTTCTCCGCAGCCGCTTGGGTCACTTGGCCAAGGAAGAGAAGTACGCGTAGGAGGAGGATGAGGAGCAGGAGCTAACACTCTGCACGGCCGCCCCTGTTCGGGAGCGGCCAAGAGGGGGGTCTCCAAGAGGGGGGGGTGCAAATCATGACTGGCGGCATGTGCGCGGCCCAGCGGGCGGGCCAGGGACGTAATGAAATGAGAAGAGGCGCCGCGAAATCTGGGGAGATATCATGGCCCCCGCCATGATATCCACCCCCCCCCCCTAGTCATCACCCCCCTCTTTTCCGCCCCCGACCTGTGCGCCTCCAGCCCCCGTGGGGCGTTCGGGCCGGACGGAGAGCCGGGCACGCGCCAACGCACGCACGAGGCACACGCCCCGAGGTCTGGCGCCGTACTGCTTCGCCCGGGGCGCTTTCGCCCGGCCCCGGGACCATCACAGATCCACCTGGCTCGGAACATGCAGCATCAATCGGCGGGGGACAACCCTCCCTGTAGTAAACCACCGAGAAATAAAAGCCACCCCAAAAATCTGGAAAAAGTAGTCTGAAAATAGTCTGTTTTGAATGCTGGTTTACCTTTTTGGTGCATTTGTGGGGCATTTTTCATTCTTCGTCGAGAATCAAGGCGGGATGCAGGGCTCTGGGCTCCTGTCTGGGGCTCCTCGTGGACCCCCAGCGGGTCCCGGCGGGTCCCGAAAGGGGGGAGTCGCCGGCGATGGGCCGGCGGCACGGGCCGCCAAGGGCCCTCGCAGCGCTGGCCCTGCAGAAGCAGACACAGAGGTCCAAAAATCCGCCCTATAGAGGAGCAGACATAGGGAAAGTCCACCCTAGAGGTCAACAAAAATCCGCCCTAGAGGAGCAAAAAGTCCGCCCTGGAGGTCAAAAATCAGACATGGAGGTCAAAAAGCCCGCCCTGGAGGAGCGACGAAGGGAAAATCCACCCCAGAGGTCCAAACTTCCGCCTTGGAAGAGCAGACATAGAGAAGATCCACCCCGACACGCGAAGTCGTTTGGTAGGCGCACCCAAAGGAGGAACCAAACAGGGCAGGGCCGTTTAGTGAACGCCCAGGGCCGTTTAGTAAACGCCAGTTGTTGGGTGCTTCTCCCTCCCTTGAAGACAGGCTCTGCCCTCCCCGCGCGGCCGCGGCTCCACGCGTCGGTCGGGCATGTCCTCCTACACGAGGACTTTGGACGAAGCAGAAGACATGGTCAAGCAGTGAATCAAGCATAGCGAGGACATAAACGCACGAAGCACCGTCACCACACCTTGTCTTTTACCACTCTCGATGGCTCCTCCTGTATAGGGGACGTGCCCGATTGTACTCCACGCTCCTCCAGCTCCTCGTGGATGTCGTCCACGTCGCCCCGCAGGGCACCCACGCCCTCCTGGAGCGCCGCGGGGCGCAGGTTCGCTTCCGCCGGCCGGCGAGGAGGGTGGCTCGCAGCCGCGGCGGCCGCCGCCGTCGTCGCCGTTGTCGTGGTCGTCGTCACGGTCGTCGCCGTCGCTGTCGGCGTGGCGGCCGTCGCTGTCGCCGCCGTCGCCGCCGTCGCCACAGTCGCGGCGCGGGGGCCAGAGGCGCTGGCGGCGCGCCTGCCTCAGCATCCAGGGATGGCCGAAGGCGACACAGCGCATTTGGGCATCTGAGGGGGTCAGGATCTGGAAGAGGGAGGAAGAGGAGGAGGAGGAGGAGGAGGACGAGGAGGAAGAGGAGGAGGAGGAAGGGGAGGAGTCCCCGTCGATCGAAGGAGGGCCAGCTGAGACAGAGGCGGCTCACCAGGAAGCCTCCAGGGAAAGCCCGCAAAAGGGTGGGAAAGCGAAAGGCAGGGCTGCCGTTTCTCTCGACCATCCCTCCTCCGACACGGCACGTCCTCGCCCTCCGATCAGGATGTGGGGTCACGATAACGATAAGGGGGAACTGGCTCGGGGGGAGAGACATCGACCTGGAATCTGCGATACGTAGCTGATAGATGGATGACGGGCTCCGAGTCGAGGTCGCGCTTTCCTGGGCAGGGTGGGCTATCAGGCCCCAATCAGCGATCAATGGGCGTCTAGGGGTCGGAGCGTCCCCCCTGAGCCTGTCCATGCCCCCGCATCGTGGCCCCTGACTATTCTGGGTCACATCTCGGGCCTCCCGCGGCCGTTCGGCGCGATCCGGGCACCCCCCAAATGCTCTCGCGGCCAGGCGCAGCTGCTGGAGCGCATCCCCAGCTCGATCCCTGGACCTTTCCCTGGGGTGCGCTCTGCCAAGAGTCTCGAGGCAGACCCAGCCGTGGCCACGATGGCGGCCCAGGAAGCCCAAACGCCCCCAGAATGCAAGCCGAGATCCTTCAACCTCGAGCGGCCTCAAGACTCGACGCGGCGGCGGGAGGTCGAGGGGGGCGTCTCTGGTGCTCTACGCTCCTTCTCCTTCTCCTCCACCTCCTCGTCCTCCTCCTCCTTGTCCTCCTCCTCCTCCTTCTCCTCCTCCTCCTCCTCCTCCTCCTCCTCCTCATCATCATCATCATCATCATCATCATCAGCATCATCATCATCATCATCATCATAATCATGATCATCAGCAGCAGCAGCAGTACCATCATCATCATCATCATCAGCATCATCATCATCAGCAGCATCATCAGACTCATCATCCTTATAATCATCTTAAGAATAAGCATAACCAAAATCATCATCGTAATTATCATCTTAATCATCATCATCATCATCAGCAGCCTCATCATTATCATCATCAAGCCACCACCATCAACATCAACATCAGCATCAGCATCCGCAGCAGCAGCAGCAGCAGCAGCATCGGCATCATCATCAGCATCAGCATCGTCATCGTCATCGTCATCATCATCATCATCATCATCATCATCATCATCATCATCATCATCATCATCAACACCACTGGCACCATCATTATCACAATCATCATCGTCATCATCATGAGCATCATCACCCTCACCACCCCCATTCACATCACCATTGCCATCATCACATCCATCCTCATCCTCATCCTTATCCGCATCCTGATCCTAATCATGAAACCAATATCATCATCAGCATCATCAGCATCATCAGCATCATCATCATCACAATCATCATCATCATCACCAACATCATCATTACCATTATCAGCATCACTACACTGACCAGCATCATCATCTTCTTCATCACCACGTTCATCCTCGTCCTCGTCCTCGTCCTCATCCTCACCCTCATCCTCATCGTCAGCAGCACCACCACCACGATCACCACGGGCTCCTAAGTTCGCGCTTCGCGCTGCGCGAAGCGCGAATAACTTCGCGCTCTCGCGCCGCCCCCCAAGGGGGAGAAGAGGAGGACGAGGAGGAGGAGGAGAAGGAACGAGGACCGCGAAGCGCGAAGCGCGAATAACTTCGCGCCCTCGAGGGAGCCCTTGAATCACCACCACCACCGCCGCCACATCAACACCACCACGTCACCACCGTCACCATCAGCAGCAACCACCATCACTGCAGCGCCGGCCCCGAGGGCACCACCGGTGAGACGCCGGCGCTCCTCGCCGCCCGTGGCCCGCCGCGCCCGCATGGCGAGGAGGAGGCGGCGCTCGCCGGCGCCGCTGGCGCGCTGCTGCGCCTCGCTGCGTGGGCGGGGCCTCATCGATCCAGTTACTCCTCCTCCTCCTCCTCCTCCTCTTCCTCCTCCTCGCCCTGCTCCTGCTCCTCCTCCTCCTCCTGCCCCTCCACCTCCTCCGTCTGCTGCTCCTCCTCTTCTTCGTCCTATTCGTCGTCCGATTATTCTTCTCATTCCTCCGCCGTGGTGTCCCGATGGTGTCCAGTGGTGTCCCGACGGTGTCCCGTGGTGTCCCCTGGCGCAGTGACTCGTGGTGTCTCGTGAGGTCGATAGAAAGCCCGATGATGGGCAGTGAGATCGGTAGTGAGATCGACTGTGAGATCGACAGTGAGACCGATCGTGAGCTTCTTCGTGAGATCCATAGTGCGATCGATGGTAGGATCTATTTTGATATATAAATATATACATACCTATTAAACAATGGGAATGGTTTACCAGATCGACACGGAAATCAACAATGTGATCGATAGTGGGATCGATAGTGAGATCGATTGTGTGATCGGTGGTGGGACAAATAGTGAGGTCGATAATGGGGTTAATGGTGAGATCAGAAATAGAATTGATCGGGAGGTCGACAGTGAAATCAATGCTGAGAACAATCGTGCGATTGAACGTGAGATCGATCTTGGGATCGGCAGTGAGACTGGTGGTGATGTGGGTCGCCGAATCGATGGTGAGATCGATGACGGGGCCGGCTCTGAGATCGATAATGACAACGACTGTGAAATCGACAGTAAGATCGATAGTGAGATCGATAATGTGACCGATAGTGAGATCGATATCTCGATCGATAGTGAGATCGGTCGTGGGATTCATATGGAGACAAGCAGTGAATTCGACAGTGAGATCGATAGTGAAATCGGTATTGACATCGATCGTGAGATCCGCCGGCCCTCTTGTGGGGCCACCAGGCTGTAGGCCCGTGATTCGCAGTTTCCTGTACCAGTCGTAGGTTGTAGTTTCCAGTGTTACAGTTCTGCTTCTTGCTGGTTACTGTAACTAGTTGACTTATTGCTGGTTACTGTAACTAGTTGATTGACCGCGCGAGGGGGGGGGAGGCCCAAACCGGCTTTTTAGCACCCCCTGGGCGCGTTGTCTGAATTGCTGGGGGGGCTCGAAATCGACACCCCTCACGCAGATCCGCGGGGTCAGGGTCCAAAAACACAGGGGATTTGCCACATTTCTGAAATTCGGTGCCACCCCTCACGCAGATCCGCGGGGTCAGGGTCCAAAAACACAAGGGATTTGCCACATTTCTGAAATTCGGTGCCACCCCTCACGCAGATCCGCGGGGTCAGGGTCCAAAAACACAGGGATTTGCCACATTTCTGAAATTCGGTGCCACCCCTCACGCAGATCCGCGGGGTCAGGGTCCAAAAACACATGGGATTTGCCACATTTCTGAAATTCGGTGCCACCCCTCACGCAGATCCGCGGGGTCAGGGTCCAAAAACATACGGGATTTGCCACATTTCTGAAATTCGGTGCCACCCCTCACGCAGATCCGCGGGGTCAGGGTCCAAAAACACATGGGATTTGCCACATTTCTGAAATTCGGTGCCACCCCTCACGCAGATCCGCGGGGTCAGGGTCCAAAAACACACGGGATTTGCTACATTTCTGAAATTCGGTGCCACCCCTCACGCAGATCCGCGGGGTCAGGGTCCAAAAACACAGGGGATTTGCCACATTTCTGAAATTCGGTGCCACCCTTCACGCACATCCATCGCAAGGCGTGGTAACCCAAACTGCGAGAACTCCCTCGGCCCTTTAATCGCAAGGTGTGGTAACCAAGCCCGTAAACCATACACGTCTTACCAATCGCCAGGTGTGGTAACCCCTCTTGTGATCAGTTGGTTTTGCTGATTGCGAATCGGCTTCGCATGAAGTTTCGATACTGCTTCACGACAGCGCCAAGGCCTCATGACTTAGCTCTTCCATGGCCCATTCTCCGAGAGAGGGGGCCGGCGGCAGGGGGCGAAGCCCTTACGGATTGAACATAAGATCAATAATGAAATCGATAGTAAGGTCGACAGCTGTGCGATCGATCGCGAGATCGATAGTGATAGTGGGATCGACAGTGGAATCGATCAGCTGAAATCGATAGTGAGGTCGCTACTGAGATCGAAAGTGGGACGGTTAGTGAGATCGATAGTGAATTCGAACATTGGATGAATGCTAGACCGATCATGAACAGGAACAATGGGGTCGATTGTGAGATCGATCGTGAAATCGTAATGATGCCGATCGAGTACAATCGGAAATGAGATCGATCGGAAGTCGATGGTGAGATCGATAGTGGGATCGATAGTGTGATTGAAAGTGAGATCGATCGCGGACTCGGTGGTGATAATGATAATCATTAACATTGCCATATCGATGGTGAGATCGATAAAGGGATCGAAAGTGAGATCGACCGTGCAATCGGTTGTGATATCGACGGTGATCTCGATAGTGAGATCGACAGGTAGTGGTAGCGATATCGATAGTTCGATCGATAGTGAAATCGGTCGTGGGATTCATATTGGGACCGACAAGTGAGTTCGACGGCGAAACCGTTAGTGCGATCGGTGGTGGCATCGACAATGAGATCGATTGTGAGATCGATAGTGCGATCGATCGGTAGTAATGTCGACAGTTGTGAGACCGATGACGAGATCGATAATGATAGTGGGATCGATACTTCGATCGATCATATGATATCAGTAGGGAGATCACTACCGAGATCGAGAGCGAGATCGATAGTGAACTTGATAGTGGGATCGAATGTGATACCAACCATGGAAAAGGGACAGTGGGGTCGATAATGAGATCGACAATACGATCGGTTCTGAGCTCGATAGCGGGATCGATAACAATACCGATCGAATGAAATGGATTGTTGG